CTGGAACAATTAAAAAATTAAAATCAAAAAATTAAAAATTAAAATTTTTTTTACTAGTAATTTCAAAATTCAGAAGAGCTCTGTGATTATTGCTTTCCTTTTTTTTTTTTTCCTTATATGAGTAGCAACTCTAGCCTTACTCCTTTTATCAACAAACAGCCTCAAGGGCTGGTCTAAGGGCTGTTATGAAAAAGCTGCACTGCTGTAGTGAAAGAAACACAGATATGGGAAAACTAAGGCTGCTGCAGTACCAGCAAGCTCTGTTTGGCCTCTGAGCATTCAATTTTAACTTGCAGGTAACTTCTTCAAGGAGAAGAAATGGAGAGAGATGCTGAACTCTGAATGGTCCCAATCCAAGGCTGCAAACTGTGTGAAGGCACAGTCCCGCTTTCCTAAATGTCTGTTCAGAGTTTATCCTGATGCTCTATTTAAAATTGCACAGTGCAGGGTAGGAGGGGAGAATGACTGTGTCAGGCTAAGGGAGGAGGGAGGATGGGAAGCACAAGCTGTCAGGTACTGGAGCTGCCTTCAGATCTACAACCGAGGCAGCAGCTTCAAAGCACTTCATCAAACACTAACTGTCTCTGTTGGAAGACATGCAAAATTGGGGAAAATAACATCAGATGCCTTTTTGCTGGGGAAAACGCTCACAGGAGAAGCCTCCCTCATTGCAGGTCAGCCCGAAGCACCGGGTGGCAATGGCCAAAAAGTGGTATCAGAGAATCACCAAATGGTTTGAGTTGGAAGGGACCTTAAACACCATCTGTTTCCAACCCCCTACCATGGGCAGGGACACCTTCCACTAGACCAGGCTGAGGTCAGTTGTTACCTCCTTGTTGTTACCTGCTCCAGCTGCTGTTTGTCTCCATCAGTTGCTTGTCCAGAGGTTTGTAACATAGCTTTGCTCATCCTTCAGCTCCCCAGCCTGATGGGAAGTGTGCTACCTTCAGGAAATCTGAGCAAAAAGTTGCTTTAGTCATGCCCAAAGCCCCGTGGAAAGAACTAAACCCTCCTGTCTCAAACTCAGCTGCTTAAGCTCGGTGGGCTTGGAGGGGCTTTCCAAAGATCACTTCTTAATGCAGTTTCCCCAGGGAGAACCCCTTCCTGTGTGGTTTTGGTTACTGCCTTGAGGGAGTCGAGTTATTGTGCTGGAGGAAGATAAAAGTGAGGCACTGTGTGTTA